TGGGCATGCACGTGCACGTGCCTGGCGTGAGTTTAAGCCACCGGATCCGGGACTCGAACCGCAGTCAACTACATGGGAGTCCAGCGATGTAGCCATTACACCATGTGCTGGTCCCGACCCTGGGCATTTTACTATGCCCCTCCGAGCCTCAGTCTGTTTGTTCACCTATGGAACGGGGCTCCTATTGCCTCATGGGATTGTGAGGAACAACCACTCAACTCATGGTTGAGGGTCAACTATGTAACAGGCCCACCCTTAAATTTGGGCACATGATTCAGTTCAGGCTTGCACCGCTTTTCATTTATTTATTTATTTTTATTTTTATTTTTTTAAATTTGCCAGAGGCTGCATGCACTCACCAGAGAGAGAAAGAGAGAGAAGGGAACTGAGAATGGCCATGCCGCAATCTCTTCTCCTCCTTTCTCCCTCCTCCCAGGATTTTGGGCATGCATGCCCACATGCCTGGTGTGTTTTCCAAGCCAGGACTTGAACCATGCAGTTGGCCATGTGGGATCCAGCTCACATAACGACCACGCCATGGACTGGCCCCGATTTTGAATTCTTTTATGACCATGATGTCTCATTTAACTTTGCCTGTTATTTCCTAGGGTGGGAATTATCCATCTTTTCAAAAGCAATCACAAGCTCTAGTATCACGGGCCCCAGGGTGTGAAATACCACAGAGATGAACGAGAATTCATAGCAGAATGATGCTAATCTTGGGGTCTCTGGTATGCCACAGACCTGGGTTCAAATCCCAGCCCCATCATTTACCAGCTGTGTGGTCCTAAGTGAGTCCTAAGTTTTCATATTGAAAACTTGATGTGTATTTTATTCTTATTGCATGACTCTACCCAGACTAGCTGCAATCCAGGCATTACGCAATCACATGGGACTAGCAGCTGCCATGTTGGGCAGCAAACTTCTAGAAGTTACTGGAAAGGCCCCAGCTGGTCACTCTTCCGAATGAGCTCCCTTGACATAGATTGCCATGGAAGACCATTCGATGGCTGAGAGTAAATCTATGAATTCTTCCGAAGAGCCCATCATGGAGACGAATGACTCAGTGTCCAGTTCTGAGGAAGCACTGGTTGGAGAAGCCCTTGAGAGAAATTTGGTGATGCCAACATCACTTGTAGTTAGGACCAGATAGCCTCAAATGGGAATCTATGAAAGTTCTTCCCGAATGTCCCCATTATGGAGGACCAAGTATGCTACCCTCGGAAACCGACACTGGGGAGTAACATGTGGCTGGCGCGTGACTTGCAGTCGGCATCATTCTGGAACAGCTGAGTCACTTGGGAATATCTGCACCTGTCTTGGCCTTGAATCTACTACAAGCTGACTCAGTGAAACACGATCAGAAATGAAATCCATCTATCGCCCTTATTATCAAGACGTCCAAGCTGCCTTTCCACAATATCCAACTTCTTAGCCATCGTGTAATCTTCGACCTGCGTGTTTAGTGTCTTGGATAAATATTTGGATTGTAAAATCTCTCTGGAGGGTCTAACATGCAATCAGGGATTAGAAATAGTCTATAAAGAGGGGCCAGATGGTGGCACAGCAGGAAAGCGCTATCCTCCATGGGACAGGTCTGGGCTCACGTCCGGAGGCCTCCCTGAGTACATCAGGCACTCGTGCCCATGATCTGGGGCTGACAGAACCTGGGGGTGAATCACTGCATCAAGACCACATTGGAGGGCCAGCAGGTGGTGTAGTGGTTAAGGGCACTGAATTCCCACATGGCTGACTGCAGTTCAAGTCTCGGACCTGGCGGCTTGCTTTCTCACTTTCTCTCTCTCTCTCACTCTATCCCTCTCTGGTCAAATTAAAATAAATAAAAAATAGAGTTCAATAAAATAATTTTTAAAAAAAAGATCCCATGGGAGGTGCTGTCTCTCTGACTCTGTCTCTCTACTTCTGTCTCTTTCACTGGCAGAAGAAATAAACTTAGAACAGAAGAAAGAAACGTCTCACAAAGAGATCAGAGAAGATCTGAAATCTCCAGTTGTGGCAGGGAAGGGGTCAGTGCCAATTTCTATAGATGCAGAAAAGGGATAAACTTGGGTTTGTGTTGAGTCAGAGCCCCTGGCACGGGGCTGGATACATAAAGAGTCTATCAAGGATGCTTGATAAATTATGAGTACGTGGACCCACCTCTCTGACACCCCAGAGGCTGCCACGCCTCCCTGTCCGCCATACCCTCCTTCCTTCCCTTGCTCCTTGTCAGACTGCAGACTTACCCCTGCCCTGCCCCACTGAGCCCTCAGGCCCAGCCTGGAAGCCACTCACCATCCTGACGGGACGGATGGACATGAGCCGGTCACTGCGGTAGCTGCTTGACCACGTGTCCCAGCGAGGGTATTCGCCCTTCTCCAGGACAAACATCTCCCCGCGGAAGTTGGACTGCTCAAAGGCAACCCAGCTGGACGCGAGAAGCACCATGAGGGCGGGAAGAGGTGGGGAGGGCAAAGACAGAAACAAAAGAAATCGTTAGCAGGAACCACCCCCTCCCCACCTGCCTTCCTCACTCCTCTGGTGAGGTAGCACTTAGGCCAGTAAGAAAGTCTGAAGGGAGTCTAGCATGTCTGGGTTCGAATCTGGGTTCAGCCACTTACTGGCTGTGTGACTATGGGCAAGTGGCTTTACCTCTCTGAGCCTCAGTTTTTCTCATCCACCCTAACATGGAGCAGGTTAAAGATTAAATGAGATCATGCGTGTAACTGGGTGAGTGAACTGTTTCTTTAAATGTAAGAGTCACATGCTTTAAGTGCTACAAAGGCCTGGGGCCAAATCATGTCTAAAAAGACATTTTCCTTCAGTTTGATGACAGGTAAGACAAAGTCTCCGTTTGATGCTAACGTGTCTTTAACACTTACTAGTTTTTCTTTTTTATAACAGAAAGGAGGGGCCAGCAACCCAGAGCCTTGAGCAGGCAAAAGAGAGGAAATAATTGCATCTATCTTGTCAGGAGGTTGGGAAGTCCAAAAGGAGGGAATGCAGGGGTCCGAGCCAGCGTGGAGTAAGCACAACAAATGTTGTTTATGATTAACGAGGAAGGAAGCTGCTGGAGTCTGAACTTACAGCTTTTGTGTTCATTGCAGTTCTTTATCAATACCTTTTTTAAAAAAAACTTTATTTATATTTATTTATTTTTTAATTTGACCAGAGAGGGACAGAGTGAGAGAAAGTGAGAGGGAAAGTGAGAAAGCAAAGCCACCAGGTTCAGGACTCAAACCATGGTTGGCCATGTGGGAGTCCAGCGCCTTAACCGTCTAGAGTAGAAGAGAAAAGGATGGATGGATGGATGGATGGATGGATGGATGAATGGATGGATGGATGGTTGAATGGATGAATAGGTGAATGGCAGATGGGTAGATGACTGGGTGACATGATATATTTAGGGATAGGTATATTGAAGGATGGATAATGGATGGATAGACAGAATGGATGATGAAGTAGATAAGTAGATAGAGAATGGATGGACGGGTGTATGGGGGCTGAACTGATCTACAGAGGGGTGGATAGGTGGATAGCTAAGTACATGGACGATGAATAGATGGAGGAAGAGACACATGGACGGATGGGAGGGAGCCTTGGAAAGTGGTCCCAGGTAGGTGTCAAGAGCTTAGACTCTGAAAACAGACAGACCAGAGACCACCACGTATTTGCTGTGTGATTTTAGGCCATCACTTAAACTTGCCAGCCTTCAGTAAAAGAGAGGAAATAATTGCATCTATCTTGTCAGGAGGTTGCAAAGTCCAAAAGGAGGGAATGCAGGGGTCCGAGCCAGCATGGACTAAGCACAACAAATGTTGTTCATGATTAACGAGGAAGGAAGCTGCTGGAGTCTGAACTTACAGCTTTTGTGTTCATTGCAGTTCTTTATCAATACCTTTTTTAAAAAAAACTTTATTTATATTTATTTATTTTTTAATTTGACCAGAGAGGGACAGAGTGAGAGAAAGTGAGAGGGAAAGTGAGAAAGCAAAGCCACCAGGTTCAGGACTCAAACCATGGTTGGCCATGTGGGAGTCCAGCGCCTTAACCACCACGCCACCTGCCGGCCCCCCAATACCTTTTACTTATAGCAAGTGATACTAGCTTTCCATTCTATGTATAAAAGTGGCATAAATATTCCTTTAAAATATATTTAGTACTGTTTAAAGGATCATTCAAAATGTAATCTATTAAATAAATAACCGTCTTGGAGGCACCAGGATAAGGGGAGAAATGAAGACTGGCCTGGCAGACAGAAGACGGTCAGTGAGGGGTGTTGGGACAGAAGGGAGGGAAGGGTAGTGATAACCCCTCAGGTACCTGTGACAATGAGTATGACATGATAGCGCCTAGGAAGCTGCTCAGTCCCTTACAAGGACTAATTAGAAGTCTGACATCAAATGAGGGCTTTTCCCGAGTATCCTAGAACAGCCTAATTAAGGATGGCATGTGAGCTTGTGTGACAGGGACCAGGGGTTGTGGGGGAGAAAGATAGCCCTCATTCTGTAGATGAGAAGACTGGGACTAAGGGACCCCTTGATCTTTGCTCTCTATGTGTTCTTGGCTCCTTGACTGAGGGAAGAGCCATCCACTCCATTGGGATAACAGAACTGAATGGGGTAGACTTATCTTCCCCAGATAGAGTTGAATCTACCTCAGCTCTCTCTGGTCTAGAGTAGAAGAGAAAAGGATGGATGGATGGATGGATGGATGGATGGATGAATGGATGGATGGATGGTTGAATGGATGAATAGGTGAATGGCAGATGGGTAGATGACTGGGTGACATGATATATTTAGGGATAGGTATATTGAAGGATGGATAATGGATGGATAGACAGAATGGATGATGAAGTAGATAAGTAGATAGAGAATGGATGGACGGGTGTATGGGGGCTGAACTGATCTACAGAGGGGTGGATAGGTGGATAGCTAAGTACATGGACGATGAATAGATGGAGGAAGAGACACATGGACGGATGGGAGGGAGCCTTGGAAAGTGGTCCCAGGTAGGTGTCAAGAGCTTAGACTCTGAAAACAGACAGACCAGAGACCACCACGTATTTGCTGTGTGATTTTAGGCCATCACTTAAACTTGCCAGCCTTCAGTAAAAGAGAGGAAATAATTGCATCTATCTTGTCAGGAGGTTGCAAAGTCCAAAAGGAGGGAATGCAGGGGTCCGAGCCAGCATGGACTAAGCACAACAAATGTTGTTCATGATTAACGAGGAAGGAAGCTGCTGGAGTCTGAACTTACAGGAAAAGACAGACACCGGTGTGGTCCTGCACCCTGACTGCCCTCCCCCAAGCCTCCCCAGTCTTCTTTAGGAAGACCAGCGAAGACCTGGCGTAGGAGTGAGGAATCTGTCAATGCTCTGTCAATGCCCTTTCTTATCTCCCATGGTTCATTAGTCTACCAGCAGGGAGAGAAGTAGGGAGGAGACTTTTGATTACAGCTATAGAAACTGAGGCTCAGAGGGGTTGAGTCATCCACCTAAGGTCACGGGATGATGGCAGAAGTTCCCTAGATTTCAGGCGGTCATGCCTCATGCCCCTCCCTCTGCCCGCCTCCTTCTGTCCACCCTTTTCCCGCCAACAGCCCTGCCAGTCCTGATGCAGATCCAGGCCCCTGGACCACAGTCCTCTTTCTGTTCCCAGGGGGCACAGCACTGGAACACACACCAGAGACCCGCTCTGTCTGTTTTTAGAGAAATACTCTAGGGTTGAGTCACTGGCACCGAAAAAAGCCTGAAAACCCAAGCTGGCCACATCCGGCAGCTTTTGCTCCCAGCTGGTTCTGGGGCTGAGGGTGGGGCTGAGGGTGGTTGACCACACTGGGGATGGGGTGAGTGCAGGGGGCCCCTGGAGCCCACCCTGACCCAGGGTGACTTTGCTGAGCTCTCAGGGCAGTGAGAAGGGTACCCTGCCATGGCCGGGGAACCACAAAGTGCCAGGCCTCTGCAACTTTATCTCTTCCAGGCCTCAAAATAATTCTGTGAGGGGAAGTGGGGACCTCTACTCTCCCCATTTTGGAGATACGCAAACGAGACTTGGAGTCTGAACAGGGCAAATGTGGGCTTGTCAGACTTCAAAGCTCTTTTCTACGTTTAGTACTTTAAACATCTCCTAGTGCTCAGAATACGGGCTGGTCAGACTCTTCGGGGACCTGCAGGGTAGGTGACAAGAGCGATGGGACTCTGCAGGTCTTGCCCCAGTGTTCTGACCTCAGTTCTCAGAGGCCAGAGCTGGGGCAGCCACTCCATCCGAGAATCAGTGGATTATTCCCAGAGGTCACTAAGGCCCAGTGAAGCCTGGGAAGTTAGGGATGGGCTGTGAGACCTGGCAATTAAAAACTTTGGGAAAGAAATGGATCATTCTGAGTCCTGGCCGTGTCACTTACTACAAGGCGCTGTTGGCCAAGAAACTTAACCCCTTCAGGCCTCAGTTTCCCCATCTGTCAAATGGGGATTAAAAACAGCTCCTCCCTCGTAGGTGTTGCAGATTACCTTGGGACAGCCCCCAGTCATTGAGGCACCCCAGGGTGCCCCAGAGAGGGGACAGTTAGGGGACACTTGGCTTGTTGGCCTCCTCCTGACCTTAGCGACAGGAGTTCCTTCTACAGAAGCAGCATTCCTCTGGAGCCCCATCGTGGCTTACTGTCAGTGTGGCCTTATGCCGATTGGATCACCTCTCTGAGCCTCAGTTTCCTGATCTGGAAAATGGGAAGGAGACTCACACCATCCTCTCAGGTTTGAAATGAGGACCAGAAATAATAACGTGCCACTTGCAATGGTCACAGTCGCAGGTGTGAGGCAGGTGCCCTGCAAATGGCAGCTCCTACTGTGCTGTCCTTAAGTTAGGGTGGCAGAGAGAGTGCCCCTCCCCGCCCATCACTCACGGTCCCGAGGTGACAATGAGGCTGCGCACACGGTCAAAGCCACGGTCCCCCAGGTTCAAGCACTCCCCCGAGAATTCCACCCGACGGCCTTGGAAGTTTTCCTGTTCGAAGACCACCAGCTGCAGGAGAGAACCCCCATGCCGAGGGGGCAGAGTGAGGGGAAGGAGTAGCCCGAACTGGAGAGGCTCCTGCTCAGACCTAACCAAGGTAAAGCAGGCCGTGCACAGATCACTTGGTTCCTGTTATGATTCCCTTGCTCCCACATCTGAACACCAGATCTGTACTCGCATTAGGAATGGATGGATCTCCCTTCCAGGCCTTTCTCTGGGCTGGTCCTCTGGCCTGGAATGCCTTCTCTGCCACACAGTCCCACCTTGGAGCTTCCACTGCTGACCTCACATTCCTTAATTCATGTTCCAGGCTAGATGTCATGTTCCCTCTTCTGTTCTAGGCTCAGATGCCAGCTTCTCCAGGAAGCCTTCCCTGATTGCCTTCCTCCTCATACAGGTTTGATTGAATGGCCCCTCCTGTATTCCCCCAAGTTAGCAACACAAATCTCAACGGTACACAGTCAGGGCTGCTGCTTTCCTTTAGGGGCTCTCTCTATGATCCCCTTTCATCCCTTACACAGTCTCTGCAGAGACCAAACACTCCTCCAGGACAAGGCCTGGGTCTAGCCCATTTCTGTACCTGCAGCCTCGGCCCTAGGACCTGCCACTGAGCCGACGCTCAGAGAATTACCAGTCTGTTCTCGACGCTGGGGAGACCTGGAGCTGAACCTCTCTCCTCACTAAGCCATTACTCATGGGTTCTTATCCACTGTGGTCCCAAGTTGGGAACAAATTGTCATTCACTTGAACCGAGGCAACCGTCTGCCTCCTTCCAGCCTCAGTTGCCCCAGCAGTAAAAGGCCCAGTTTCACACGGCTCTGTGGCACTTCTGCTCCTACTCTGGCCTGCAACAAACCCTCGTACGTGCAGCCCAGGAGCTAGCGATGAGCCTGTTCAGGCCATGCTGTTCATGGATGCAGAACTGGTGATCATCCATGTGGGGCTCAGAGACAGCCATGCTCTGAAATATCACACAGCAGCCCAAGTGAAGGACCCACGGCCATGTGTGCGGCACACAACTGGATGTGATGGGTCTCCTGGCGTGTGAAAAGAAAGACCGATGCAGGATAATTGTACACAGCATGTTGCCACGCGTTAAAAGCGGCAAAGCAAAATTGTGTACTTTTAAAGGAATATCATATAAAGATACACTCAGAGCTCCAAGCAGGTGGTGGACACCGGGTGAGGATGGCAGTTACCACGAGTGGGGGACCGGGGGGCTTTCAGGGCCCCCTGAGAGTCAGAGGGTTGTTGCTAAGTCCTGGCTTTTGCATGGGTTCGCAGGTGCTTCACTTGAAATGACATAAAATGAATCACTGAGTAATTCACTTTCTCGATAAGAGCCAGCCACACACACACCTCATGAGAGCATCCCATGAGCTGAGGATCGTGAAATGGCCCAGTTCTGTGCACCTGAGGCTCGAACCAAACCAAACCAAACTGAACCAAATGCCAGGGACTGACTCCTTTCTCTGCAGGAGCCCTGTCCACCCAGATCCTTCTAACAGTTCTTGGGGGGGGGGCTAAGCCGTCCTTCTGTCCTAGTAACCGCCTCCCCCCAGACCCCGTGAGTCCTGCGGCTAAGCCAGCCCATTTCCTTTGCTTCCCCTCTTTCTTGTTTTCGATAAACACAAAGCAGTGCTCGTGCAGATCTGGCCCAGCTGGCAAGCATCCTTTCAACTGTGAAGTTTCAGTTGCTGTTGTTATTTCACAACCCCAAAAGGGGACCCCTCTTTCCAGGCAGGTTTGTTGAAATCCCAGTCATTTTCTTGGGCTCCCAGATCTGGGGCTGGACCACATTTGTATCCAGAAAGGAGGAAGGTAGAGGAAGCCAAGGAAGAGGAAGAGGATGGGGGGATGAAGAAGGAGAAAAGGGGCAAGAAGACGAGACACTCACAGGAGGAGAATGGGGGAAGAGGAGGAGAGGAAGAGAGAAACAGGAGGAAGAGGGGCAGGAAGAGGGAGATAAGAGAAAAAGACGGAGGAGGAGGGAGAGGAGGAAGAACAGAACAAGGAGAATGAGGAAGGGGAGAAGGAAGTGGAGAAAGGGGAGGAGCGAGGGGAGAAGCGGGCGGGGAGGAAGCCCAGTCAAGTCCTTACCCTGTAGCTCCCAGGAGGCAGGTCCCCCACTTTGGCACCAGGCAAGGGCACGGATGCTGGGGCCAGGGCGGAGCCAGGGCCCGGGGTTGGTCCTGTGGGTGGGGTGCCCTTGCCTTTGCCGTCCGGCCCTGGGTTCACAGCCGTCGTGGACGAGGCCTTCACAGCCTGAGACATGGTTCCCGCCTGCAAAGTCCGTGAAGACACCGCCAGCCTCAGTGCGTTCCAGGTGGCACCCCACACGGCCTCCCCGCACTCATCCCCACCCCACCTGTGCTTTGTGCTCCTTCAACTCATTCCCTCTCTTTCTTCTTCTGAAACTTCCATCGTGAAGTTTGGGGTCATCTCCATTCCCATTCCCCAGCCAAGAATCTGCGGATCACTCATCCCTAACTTTTTTTTTTTTTAGTTTAGTTTTTATTAATGATTGCAAGTGAGAGACAGAGAGAGAGACCTTTGACAGGGTCTCATTACCCCACTATCCCTTTCCCCAGCCCTCCGATTCATCAGGATCTTGGGCATGTGCATGCGTGCCAGGCCTGCTCTCAGGCAGATCAGGGACTGAACCCACAGTCGGCCATGTGGCTTCCAGCACTGCCCAGGAGCAGTTCAGTGAACTAAGGACCCACCTTCTCTCCAGACCATGCTGTTCCTTCCACCATTCATGCCCTCTCCCGCCCCCCCGCCCCCGTCGTAACCTTCTCCAGCCCCTCCTGTTTCTCACACCACTTATCACACGTTTTTGCTTGTGCAATTTCAAGTTGCTTGGCCAGAGTTATAGCAAGTGACATGTGGGGGTACTTAGGTATGCCAGGTGCTGTTATATGAATTAATCGATTCATCTGGTCCCGACTCTAGCCTCAAGTAGTAGTTACTATCATCACCCCTCTGAGCAGCCCAAGGCTTGAAGAAGGCAGGTGCCTGGTTCAAGCCCACACAGCTCCTACGTAACGGGGCTCTTATTTTATTTATTTTTTTGTAGAGAGATTTTTGCCCCCCAGAGAGACAGAGGGACAGAGAGTGAGAAATCACCCCCCGGGGAATTGGCCACATCGCAATCCCTTCTCCTCCATTCTCCTCTTAGGATTTTAAGCCGCTGGGTCTGGGACCTGAACCATGGTTGACTCCATGGGAGTCCAGTGATGTAACCATTACGCCATCTGCTGGTCCCAGCAGGATTCTTACTCTGATGTAAGCAGAGGGACCCAGCATCTGAGCTGTTAAACCCTTTGGTGTTTAGTAACTGACTGATCCACCTTCCATGCCTTGCACTTGGCTCTAGGCCTGGCATGTGGGAGATTCTCCACTCCCATCCGTTGGAGAATGAATGAACATATGTGCCCGTCTGGAATCTCTGCAGGCAGGTGTGGGTGCAAACGTAGACCTGGCACTGGAACATGGGAAAGGGCCCAGAAGGATGCATTTAGTGCCATGGGAGGGTTCTAAAACGGAGGACTGTGGCTGTGTGGGTGTTGGGTGGAGAGGACTTTGGTCAGTTTCAGTGGTTCCTCATTGCTGGGGCTGGGAACTCCTTTGAGGGATAGACATCTTGACGTTGTGCCAGAGGGAAAAAGGCCCTCCTTCATTGGGGGGAACAATTTTAAGGGATTTGAGGGCCTCAGGACAGATTCCTCAATGCTCTGTTAGAGGCTAGCTGGGCGAATAGATCCCTCTCTGACCTCCCCAAAGGAAGACTGGGGGTGCTCCGGGTGCTCTGTCCACCAGGGCCAGGCCAGACATCTGGGCCACATCTGGGCCACATCTGTGCTTCTTCCATCGCCTCCTCATTGTGAAACACTCCCTGGGGCTGGAATGGACCCGTTCCTGTTCCTTTCCGCAGGTTCTTACTCTCCCTCTCTCGTCCCTCTCCTTCTCTCTCTCTGGTCCACTCTCTGCCTGCTGCTGTCTTTGTTTATTACTGCAGTACTTCTTTCCCCATCTCTCTGTCCTTCCATCGCTGCTTCTCTCTCTCTGTTTTTCTCTCTCTCCCAGTAGCTCGCCCGTTCTTTGCCTTTTTACCTCTTCTGGGAGAAAGAGAGAGAGAAAGAAAGAGAGAAGGCCAGCAAGCCCAACAGGGTCTTCACGCAGTGATCCACCCCCAGCTTCAGCCAGCTGGGATGCTGGACATGCATGTGAGTGCCCCCTGGGTACAAGGAGTCCCCGGGATGCCAGCCTGGCCCATCCCACGTGGCCCCAGCACCACAGAGTGCTGTGTTGTCAAGGCTGCACTGCTGCCGCTGCCCGGCCCTCTGCTTTTATTCCTGTCTTTCCTCTCTCTTTCTTCTCTATTTCTTTCCTTTCTTTCTTTTCTTTTCTTTTTTTAGGTTTTTATCATAGGGTATGTATACTCACTGGAGAGAAACGAGGGGAGAGGCAGAGTGAGGAATCACCCCCAGGTGGGGTTGGCCATGCTATAATTCCTCTTCCTCCTCCAGCCTCCTCCTGGGATTCTGGGCACACATGCCCAGCATGATTTTCAAACCACTAGGTCCGGGACTGGAACTATGGCCGGCCCTGTGGGAGTCCAGCACCTTAGCCACCATGCCACCTGCAGGCCCTTCTTTTTAAATTTAATTTAATTTTTCAAAGGTTATTTCCCCCGTGACCAAGAGAGACAGAAAGAGCGAGAAGGAGAAAGAGCACCCCCAACACGATCTTCACACTGCAGCCCACCCCCAGACCCAGATCCCAGACACACGCATGCCCGGCATGATCAGGGAGGTCTTCCGAATCGAACCGGGAACCCTCTCATGCAGGTCAGTCCTGTAGCGTGTAGTCTTGCCACCTTCCACCCCACCATTCGTTTCTACGTTTTTTCTCTTTCTCCATCTCCTCCCGTCTCTTCGGTCTCTCTCAGCCTCTCTGACCCTCCCTGACCGGGCTCTTTACCCCTCTCTGTCTCTCTGTCTCTCTGTCTCTCTCTCCTCCCCTGTCCCCGTCCCCTCTTTTTCAGCTCTCAGCTGCTCCGTGGGTCCCTCTTACCTGGGTCTTGCCACTTCCTGCGGGAGGACAGACAGGAAGGCAGCGGGCGGGTGCTGTGGGCGCCTGGGGGCCGACCCCCCATTTTATAGCCTGGCAGACATCAGGCCCTATAGTCTGGGGCACAAAGGGGGAGCTGGCTCAGCAGGCCCGAGTGCAGAGTGGGGGACAGGGCCCCCACTTCGCCCGGGTTATTGCAGACGGTAGCACTTTCCCCCGAGCCCAGCGCACACAGCAGAAACCAGTTGCTGTGGCCTCGCCTTCCGACCCGACCCTGACTCCTCTCTCCCGAGCCAGCAATGGGCTCACAGCCAGCATAAGGCGGGGAGGAGGGAGCCTCTGGAGGGCAGGACACCTGAGTTTGAATCCCGGCTCAGCCACTGTGCACTGCATGGCTGTCGGTAGGTCTCTACCCCTCGGGGCACACGTGTCCCTATCAGATGCTGTACGGAAGAGAAGGGACGGCGAGCATGGGAGAGATGTTTGGTAAAGGCAGACGCAGGTTCGAGACCAGCAGTCCCGTTAACTGAGCATACGCTGTGTGCCAAGCATGGCACCAAACGCTTAACCGGTGTCACCGTGGTCAGCTCCCAGGAAAACCCGCCTTATCCGGTCCTTCCATTGTACCCATTGCCTAGACAAGGAGGGTTGGGGCACAGAGGGGTTGGACCTGGCCCAGGTAGGCTGGCTTTGGGCTGGACACTGGACGAGGAGGGTTGGGGCACAGAGAGGTTGGAGCCGGCCCAGGTAGGCTGGCTTTGGGCTGGACACTTCATTCTCACCCACCCTAGTGCGGGCCTGACCTCTTTGAGGCAGGGGTGGGGTGAGGGTCTCCCTGTGCTGAGGAACTGAACATTCGCGATCTAAGTCCTATTTTCTTGTCCATGTCGGGCCCCCTCCTTTCCTGACTGGCTTGTGGTCCCCCCACCTCTGTTCTCTGACCCCAGGGACAGAGCTGGTGACCAAGACAATGAGTGTCTGTCTCAGAACCTCCTTTTCTGAGACGCCCCAAATTCCAGCACATCTGGCTCACCACTGGTACTGGGCACCTAGCATAGGGCCTGACACATGGGAGGCCTTGACCAGTGGGTCACGGCAGAGGTCGGGGTACAGGGGAGGTGAGGTGGAGAGCAGAACAGGGAGACTTGTGAGGGAGAGCAGGGAGTGACTAAAAGACTTGATGGAGACAGAGAGACGGAGAGACAGGGAGAGATGGATGGTAAGAGAGACACAGAGAGGCAGAGGTCATGGCAGGGCAGTGCAGACTCAGAACAGTGGGACAGATGGCCGAAAATCGTGGTCCATTCACAAATGGAGAAACCGAGCCCCAGGTGGAAGTGACTTCAACAGAGTCCCAAGGTGCGAACTCACAGTGGAACTGGGGTCGGAGGGACCCAGGAGAGCTCAGCCAGGTGGTCCGCAGTCTGACGGCAAGGCCTGGGCAGGTTACAGGAGGTGTCTGTAAGGTTCCTGCCTCTTCTTTAGAAGTCTCAGCTCCACCTTGCAAATTCCCTGGCCTGGGGCCAGCCCTGCTTCTGCCCCTCTCCCTTCCTCATCTCCCTGCTCACTTCCCAGCCTCAACCTTTGATCCTGGGCCAAGACTGGAGGGGAGGCGGGGTAGGGTCAGGAACCACATGGGCAGCTGCTGGAACAGGAGCCAAGATGCCTGTGGTGGGGGCCACCCAAAGTCGGGCACCCAGGCCAAGCCATCTGGGGCAGTTACATGGCTCCCTTGGCAGTGGGCAGTCTGCCAAAGGGTGGGGTCAAGGATGGGAGACGGCCCACCATGCTGGGTGGCCCCACTCAGAACCGCTCAGAACAGGGATTTCTGGGACCAACCGGTTCATTGCAGGTGAGGAAACAGAAGCTGCTCCCCCTCACCTGTCTCAGCCTCTGTCCTCCGTAGGCTGGAACAAAGACTCGTGTCTTTTGAACTCCTGAAAGCTCCTGAACTCCTGAAACTCCTAAGCTCTTAAAAACTATGCTCTCCTGCTTTTTTATGAATAATAATTTTTTATTATAGCTTTGAATGGACATATAATAATTGTACATATGCATGGTTTTTTAAATCCATGAATACCACGTGTAATGATCAAATCCGGGCAGTGTCCACCACCTCAAACACTATCATTCCTTCATAAGAAGAACATTCCAGATCCTCTCTTCCAGCCATTTTGAAATGCATATTGAGGGTCAGCCAGTGGTGTGGTTAAGGTAGCTGGATCCCATATAGCTGACTGCATGGTTCAAGTCCCGGGCCTGGTGGTTTGAGAAAACATGCTGGTGGAATTTTTCCCTGGAGGAATGGGCATGCCACAATCCCTTCTCCTCCAGTCTCCTCTTGGGATTTTGGACATGAGTGCACATACACTCAGTGTGATATTTCAAATCGCCAGGTCCAGGACTCAAAGTACAAAGTGGGCCCTATGAGATCCAGCTGCTTTAACCACCACGCCACCTCCCGGCCCCTAATAGTAACCATTTTTTATCATTAACATGACGGCAGAGACACATACTGCTTTTTATGTTCCAGGAGCAGTTCCGAGTGTAATTCATGGGTAAGTCATGTTTATCCTCACAATGCCCCTCCTCTTTTTTGCCATAAGGTGTGTGCACTCACTAGAGAGAGACAGTGAGAGGGAAAATGAGAAGTCACCCCCCCAGGAGGCATGGCCACACCACAATCCTTTCTCCTCCTGGGATTTTTGGGCATGCACGCACAGTCCCCGGCATGATTTTCAAGCCACCAGGTCCAGGGTCAGCCATGTGGGAGTCCAGTGCCCCAAACACCATGCCACCTGTTGACTCCACAGTCCCGCTACTTTTTAGACGAAACCTAACTCCTTTTTTTTAATATTTTATTTTATTCATTCATTTACTTTTTTAAAAATTTAATTTGACCAGAGAGAGACACAGAGAGAGTGAGAGAGGGAAAGCGAGAAAGCAAGCCACCAGGTCTGGGACTCGAACCATAGTTGACCATGTGGGAGTGTCCAGTGTCTTAACCACCATGCCACCTGCTGGTCCCTAAACCTAATGTATCTTGTATCTGTTATGTACATGAGGAAACTGAGACCCAGAGAGATTAAGTAACACAGTTATCCAGCCAGCAAAAACATGGCATGGGGCCAGGTCAACATGCAGCAGCAGCATGACTGGACCCGCACAGGAAAGGTCCCAGGTTCGTGTCTCAGGAGCACGCCTAGCACACACGTGCACACCCATGATTGTGGTCAGGTGAGAGTGGAGTGGATGGTTGAGTGAGGACCCTGTTGGAAGCTCCTGTTTCTCTTTCTTTCTTGTCTTTTCTTTTAAACATTTTTCCAGAGGGCACATGCATTCGCCGAGAGGCATAAAGAGAGAATAAGACAGAAAGAAGGGAAGTGAGAAAGCACCCCCAGGAAGGATGGTCACGCTGCAATCCCTTCTCCTCCATTTCTCTCTCCTTTTGAGATTTGGGGCACACACATATGTGCCAAGCATGTTTCTCAAACCTCTGGGTCTGGCACTTGTACTGTGTGGTCAGCCTCATGGGACCCAGCTGCCTCAACCACCACAGCACGGGCTGCCCCCCCCCCAAAAAAAAAATAAATGAATAAACTTAAGAAGACAACGAAAGTGTAATTTACACCCAGGCTGGCTACATGGCGGCCTTTTGAACCTTTCGTTTTCACGGTAACCCTCCGTCAGTGTCACACCTTTGATAGAGCTGCCAGGAGGGAGCTGTCCCAGGAGGGATCTGGTGCTACCATCTTTCAGGCTGAGAACGGGACTCCAATACCCTCCAGGCCACGCGGAGGGTGAGAGGCAGGGCTGGAGCTCACCCCAAGTCATCTGGTTCCCAGCTGTGCCCTGCAGGGGACAGAGGGGCTATGCAGGGAGGGTGCACGCAGCACAGTCTACGAGCCCTGGATATGTGGCGGACCTGCGAGTTTGCGCAGCGTGTTTGCACCCAGCCGCTCTTTCATTCTGCTCGCAGAGCCATCTGGACTTGTCTTTGGGCTTTGTGGATCCTGCAGGCTCAGATCCAGCCCACTTAACCTGTCTCAGTCCCCTATAGGACCCTCGAGTTCCAAAATGGTTTTCCAGCACTTTCATGTACGTGTGCTCCAACTTCCCACTTCCGTACATTTGTTCACAATAACCCGCCTTTTATCTTGCTCTGTACAAATCCACCCTTCAGAGTCTAGTTTGAATGCCACCTCACGCATGCAGCCTACCTTGATTTCTCCCGTGGAAAGAAGGAGGAGGATAAAAGGGAGAAAAATTAGGCATTGTGGCTGTTCACTCAGTGCTAGGCAGGGGACATATCCTCACAACAACCCTGTGCTATGGTGTATTTCCAAGCCACTGTATGGGCAGAAACTGAGAGAAAAAAATGACATGGCCAAGGTCACATGGCTAAGGAGGATGCTCTTTTTTTTTTTTTTTTTTTTTTATAGGATGCATGTGCTCACTGGAGAGACAGAGAGGTAGAAAGCAAGAAATCATCCCCCAGGGGGGGATGGCCAAGCTGCAATCCCTTTTCCATTCTCCTCTCGGGATCTTGGGCACATTTGCACACACACCCGGTGTGAGTTTTAAATTGCCGGGTCTGGGACTCGAACAGTGATCAGCTATGTGGGAGTCCAGCGAAGTAAACATTATACCATCTGCTGGTCCCAGGAGGATGCTCTTGGACCCCTCATCCAGTGCGCATTCTCCCAGTGCTGTCAGGAGTCCCGTGGAGCTGCCGAAGACTGACCTTCCCCCCTCATCTTCTTCATGGCTGATCCCTGGGGGAGGTGACCTGATCCATTCCCTCCCAGCTAAAGCCAGAGATGCTGACACCTCTCCACTGGGGCTTCAGCCAGGGCTGGCTTTTGTTACTGCCTGTCACTTGCTGAGTCGGTGCTTTGTTTCCAGGGGCCCCTCTCTCCTCCCTGCCTATAAGAGCCTGACCTCGGCTGGTCCCAGGTCTGACATGTTCTCTGGGCCCGTCTCGGTAAGTCCCAGGTTTGGAGAAAGGGTGGGATGAGTTCTGAGCGAGCATCCTGGGAGGTAGGGAGCCCAGGTCCCCAGTCTTGGGGACGTCACTAAGTCATCCTGAATGCCATCCTCATCATGACCAAGGACAG